GGACATGGCTGGCAGCGTTTATGGTAGGGTAGTCTATTGAGCTACGCACGTCCAAAAAACATAAAATAATTTCGCCGACTTACAGACTTTAGGGTAGGCTTAACTGCCTACACCTAAACATCTGTAAACGGTCAATGCTAATTTCTACCAACGCTGCGAACCATGTGCCGCTACATAGACATTTAGGTGCGAAATGGTGGGGAGAGGTGGCGGTTTGCCGTATGTTCGAGCTTACCCGAGGAGGTGCTGGGGGGCGTTACAGGGTTAAGCTGGAGGTCACTGCGTATGCCCGGGAGCCTCCTCTTGGACCTTGACGTAACCTCTCGGACCGAGAACCGGTAGAGTAAGAGGATCCATTCCCCACACATGGAACACAGGCGCGATGGAGTGGGGTGGAGGGGGGGAGTGGTTAGTCTTCCTTCCTCAACATGCTAGCGACGGCCTAGCGCAGGGGGACCATTGTGCCAGGGTGGCACAAGTCGGATCTGCCACCTTCACGTGGTGTCTGCTGGGACGGCTGATCTGTGCCCTTCGGTAGTACTACAGTGCTACCCAAGGGTGAGAACCTCCGTGCTGACGGGAGAACGGCGACCTCAGGGGGCACAGGTCCTGGATGGACCTCTGTCACGGATAGAGCGCACCTGGGGATCCGAGCTTTGACTCACACCGTAAGCCTGTGGTCATGTTTCACAGGAGCGGGGGGCTTGCCTTAACCGGCTGGCCCGTGAGGAGTAAACCTCAATAAAAAATTCGCTGTGTGGTCGCGGGACGGAATATGGCCACGGTATCCCCTGCATGTGGTATGAGTCCACATAAAAAGGGGTCGTTTCCGAAGTAGTTCCAATGATGCGCGAAGCTATGCCGGCGGGGTCTCCGGACCCTGGCAGGTACTACCATGCCGGACAGGTTGGCACGGAGGAACGAAAAGGGGGCGATGGGGATTGAGGGTTCGTCTCAAACCAAGGTGTGTAGGACAACCGTGCCGTGGGTTGCATGGCTGCTGAGACGTTAAACTGGGCAGTCTCTGACGGTCCCTCGGGGGTACCTGCCAACCCCACCCTCCCTTCACACCGAGTAACTAGGCTTGCCCGGGTATGGCTGCCCTGCCTGGGTCGACATTCTTTCCGATCCCACTCGTGGGAATAGTATGGAGAATTTGAATTTAAAACTTACATTGAAGAGTACGGAGGACGAACCTGCGGTTTGCCCTCACGGGCAGTCCCAATGTGAAGAGAAGGAGGAGGTGCGGGGTAATATGGAGAGTGTGCAGATCACCGGCACGGCTCCCGGAACCCTATGCACGACACTGGTGAGTAGTAGGAGAGGATCCAAGGATTCAACAGCCTCCGAAACCACCGTGTTAACGAGGAGGATGGCGAAACTTCGCGCCAGCCGCGGGACGGCTACCTGCCCTGCCCCATCCTTGGGGGATGAGTGGGTGCGGCCCTCGGGTGCGGAGATTGATCCCTACAACATCTAGTGGGCCTCTGATTGGGGGAGAAGGCGTCAGTCTTTCACATCCAGTGTCTCTTGCACTACAAGGGCGAGAGTTTGGTCAACCAAGTGTGCGGCTGTCGAGGGTTGATAGAAGTCGATCTCGATCCCGTCAGCAGCGACTTGACGCATCGCCAGCCGCCAGGATGGGGCGAGCAGATAGTGGAGAAGAGTCGCACTACTCCATTTGCTTGGTGGCCTCAACGGGCCACCAGGCATGACGTCACGGAAGCGCACCAAGCCCCTTACACCAGGGCAGTTCCAAAACTCGGCAGATGCGAAGAGGAGGCTCCCTGAGTTGCATCGTAAGGAGGCCGAGTCCAGGGAGGAGATGTCCATCTTCGATCCTGAGGTGGACCCGCGTCCTCCTTGTCGGGGTGCGCTGCCGTTAGCGGAGGTTGACGATATCCTCCGGATGTTGGACGGACGCATGGACGCCGAGATTGTTGCAGATGCAGTCGAGTGTGCACGCACGCCTGAGAAAGTAGCCGCAAATTCGAAGAGTTTGAAGGGCACGTATGTGCGCTTAATTAGGGAGAACACTCGTTTCCTTCAGGCAGCAGCGATGTACGGCTACAGACGGGCCCGAACTGCGGGAGCTGCATCGCAGTTGGAAAGAGAAAATATCCTTCTGCATCAGAGGATCTGAGAGAGGGACCTGCAGTTGGTGGAGACGAGGAGGGACTTGAAGGCCCTTCGTCGGGAGGTAGACGCCCTCAAGTTGCGCACTGGTGGCGTTGCTAAGGTGCTTCCATCAATAGATGTGCCGGCACGTGAGCGGACTCCTCCTGTGCAGGAGTCAATGGACGTTGTGGAATGTCCGTCTTCTCGCGTGCCGGAAGTGGTCCCCTTTTCGGAGGCTTCGGCGGAAATTATCGAGCCGCCCTCGGTAATTCCCCCTCCACCCACTCCATTACCATCGACGGAGTGGGACATGGAGCGTTTTATGGATTTGATGGAACGCCTCGTCGAGAGGAAGATGGTGGTGCTCCAGGAGAGGCTGTTGCCCGCCGCAGCTCTCAGGCCTCCGCTGAGCGCTCGGCAGCGTGGTGTTGCCATGCCACCTCCGGCTGCTCCGGCTGCTCCAGCTGCTCCAACTGCTCCAGCTGCTCCCGCTACACCGTCGAAAAAGGCGAAGACAGCGAGAGCGAAAACGACAGCGGTCACAGGAGCGACCAAGGTTCCTGTTCCCAGGACCATGCCACATGCAGCAGGTAGACAGAATCGACCTGCTCCGTCCTGTCCGCTTCCTCCGCCGCCACCTGTTTTGACGACCGAGACGTGGTCGATGATGGTTGGGCGTAGGGCGAAAAGGGCAGCGAAGCTGGCTGCTGCGCCTGCTCCTGCGCCGCAGAACAAGCCGGAGCCCGGGAGGTCACCATCAGTCGCCCGGAAGCAGCAGGCCTAAAAACGGCCACCTCGTCCGCCGA